CAAAAAGAAAAAGATAAAACAATTTCAATTATGTGTAATAATTTTTACTCTTTCATTTAAAATTAAAAGAAAAACATACTTCCTCCACTAGTGGTGAGTACGAAAAGAAGACACTCCCTCAAGAATGTTCAAAAACAAAAGGAAAAAGACAAATTAGAGACAAATTAGTGCTGATGCCATGTGAAGAAAAAATATGATGGAGAAGAAAAATAATAATAATACTCCGTAGTATGTTCCTTCAACCTTTTATTGGAGTCTTAAAATCATTCCCCTCTTTCTCTCTCTTAAGCATATACTCCGTAGAAAAAAAAAATTATATGCAACAAGAAGAAAACACTACTAGAAAGTTTCAAGTAATAAATTTTAAGAAAGTTATATGCGTGGAGGGGAGTCTACCATTTATACATAGTTTAATTTAAGGTATATTCATAATTGAATTCTAATTTTTTTTTTATTTTTTTAATATTTTATTTTAAAGCTACTCTGTACTAAATTCTACTTTGTTTTAATTTATCAAAAACATGATTTTCTGATATTATGAGGAAATTTATTCCATTTTAATTTATCTAATTTTATTTTTTTTTATAAGTATAAGTTTCTGATGTGAAGGATCCCAACTTTGGGCAATCACAGAGCATACTTCTCATAGTTTTTAAGAAAATATTTTAATTTGTTCATGAAGAAAATAAAATAAATATACCTTCTGAGAAGAACAAGGATTCTGGGATTTTGAGCAATTCGTGCTGATAACGTGTTATAAAATGAGAGAAAAACTACTCAAAGATTATGAGAATGGATATAATATATTTCTGATTTCTTCTCTCTATTAACTATTCACTCTTCTTCTTATACTTAATGGTCATTACAATGCAGGGATTAAGCCTCTATTTATAGTCGAGAGGCTTAGTATGAATACAAATACAAGTGGGAAGGACTGTACTAAATTGAACCTCATCAATGGGTGTCTTAATCTACTATTCTGGAAATTATGTCTGATTAATTGAATAAATGAACAATCATTAATTTCATAACAACCTTTACTTTTTCCTTTTTTCATTTTTAAAAAAAATATATTTTCAATTCACTACACTTACAAAAATAAGATTTTTTTTTAATTTTACATTATTGTCTCAAGCCAAAGCCCAAAAGGAGAAAATATATATTGGATGAAAGTAAAAAAGAAAAACAAACTTGACAAGTTCTATATTCATGTCTAAATTTGGGTCCTTTCACCTCCGTTGGGCTTCTTTGACTATCCAAGCCCCAATTTACCGGGAAAATCTAAAATTCCCAGATAAACCTTCAGTCCGTACCCCCGCCGGAATCCGTCTTCCCGGCGATGATGCTCCCCAAATTCATGTCCCGGACATGCCCCCTTCCACCTAACTTCATCTGTACCACGCGATTATCCAAAAGAACTCCCGTTCTGTCTCATATCGCCATCAACCCGACCTTCACCTCAACTGCCGGCGCTGCCGCAGTCTCACCGGCTACCGCCAATGCTCCTCCCTATGGTCCGTCCCTACAAAAAGGGATCAAGCTTCCTCAATTTCAATCTCCTATTGGTTCTAGCTCGCCCGAACCCAGTGCTTCGCTTGAGGAGGAGAGTTTCACTAGAATCTTCGACGTTGCGGCTCTGCGAGTCCCCTCCGACCTCTGCTCCTCCCTGGAAAGCAGACTCCGAGGCCACCTCCTTAACTGGCCCCGCATTCGCAACGTTGCTAGGGTTTCTGGAGATGACATCCAAGACGAGCTCAAAGATTTTCTTGTGGATCGCTCAAATTCCGGCGCAGATGGTGAAGCCCTAGTAACTTTGCAACGCAGGATTTACGGGAAGGCAGAAGGGGATGGAGAGAGGTTGAGTCCGGTGTTGTACAGAGATAAGCTCTCCAGAACTTTTGATTCTAGAGGGTTTGTGAACTTCAGGAATTTAGCCAAAATTTCGCGGCCTAAAGAGAAGAAGAAGATGAAGAGGGGGGATGGGAAGGGGAGAGACAAGAAAGGGGTCGGGAAAAATGAGATGGTATTGATTGAGGTGGTTGATGAAGAGGAGAGTGAAGATGGGGACCTGAGTGGGCTATTGGGGGATGACTTCAAAGGGAATAAATGGAGAGGCCCAACAAGACTGCTTCTTTTGGATGAACAGTATGCCAATAAGGAGTTCGATGAAATGCCTGAAGCAATCAAGGTCTAAATGCTCTTTCTTAGCCTTCCTCCCTTAGTTCTTCTTGATTTTCGATCACGATTCTCCAACACATTGTAGCTTATGAATGTGTGTTTTTTGTGCTCTGGGTCTAGTTGCTAGTGTCACTATGTGTGCTTCTTCTTGTGTCTTTGTTCTTATTTTATCTGTTCTATTACATTTACTTTGTCTGTGTTTTTGTTTTTGAGTCGGTGGTCTTTCTATTTTTGAGTAGGAGTAAGTTCTGTGTACACGCCACGCCCTCTTCAGACCCTATTGTGAGATTTTATTATGTTTGTTGTTGTTGTTGTTGTTGTTTCACGGCTCTCATACTTATCAGGTATTATATGTTTCCAGGCAGTGTTTAGAGAACATGGAAGGAGAAGTGAGAGACCTACTCTTGAGATTGTTAACTGCAGATTGACATTGTTTTACCAGTATTGGCTGAGGGATGAGGTAATGATTTTACTACGTATTTGCAATATACTACTTGTCATTATCTGTGTCAATTTTATAATGTTCCTTTTCATTGTGGTTCTCAAGCATTACTCCTAGTTTCTGTCATTACTTTACACGTGCCTGGTGACTTCTGCTGCTTTAGTTGATCATCCATTTGAAATTTTGAATACACATATGGTCATAAAAATCTCATGGTGTATGGAAGACCCTGTTTGCTTTATTAGCTCTCACATGTTTGTGTTAAGTATTTCTATGAGCTCCTTGGGTTGATGTTCATGTCCACCATTTCGGAAAGTGGTTGGTAAGATGAACTGCTTGGAAATTAGCTGTTTAACATAATTCCTAAATTACCCCTAAGGCCCAGACTCTAATTTGTTACGCAGTACTTCATTTGTTCTGCAATGGAGTTAATTATGAGAGGTGTTTAAACTTGTTTAGAAAAGAGAGATGTTGTAAGCAACATGTTCTTCTCTTTAAAACGAAATGAAAGAAGTACAAATTTCATTTTGAGACGTACCGACAGATAAGGAAATTGAATTTAATTTGTAGAAGGAGAGAGTATATATTAAATATTCTTACTCTTTAATTAATTAATATAAAATTTCAATAAAGTATGAATTGAAAGTTAGAGCACACACATTTTATTTATTTAGTTTTCATACTCTCTGTGTCCTATAAATAATCTTCCCATTTCAGATTAAGATGTTTCACTGAAATTATTTTCAATTCAATTTATTTAAATATTGATGTAACTTTTTTTTAAAAACTTTATATATTGAAATAACTGAATATCAACATCAAAGCTTTACAAAATAAGATGTGACATGACTATATTACTTTATCGAATGACAAATGAAAATATATTTGGAAAGAAGATATAGTTTGACTGTGTGAATATCAAATGGGAAGATTAAGAAGGGACGGGAATACTTAATTGTTGAATGTTCTCTCCTCCCGGAATCAAATTCACATTTTCCTTTTTCACCCTTTCCAAAATAAACTTCACACTTCCCTCATTTCCTTCTTAGAAAAAAGAATGCGTGGCTTGCAATATTTCTCTCTTCCAAACAAATACCAACTACACACTATTCACTTTTCAACACTTAGTACTTTTCTATACTTTTCTTAAATTTGGTGAAGTGAAACTGCGACTTTAATTGCAGGATGGGGTCATGGGGAGAGTATAATATAATTTGCATTATAATTGTGGCTCATAATTCAACCCAAATCAAACACATCTTTTAGGTGCTAAAGCAATTTTTGGACAAACAGCTACTCAAAAAGCTTGTTGCCAAGTAGGACCTTAAGGATCAATCTCGTAGGTCTCATAACTTGTTTCTAAAGAACAAAACTGAATTGAAAACTCTAACATCATAGAACTTTATCATGAAAGTTTCACATGCTCCAAGATTGTTTTATCATTACAATGGATGAAGCTTCTATTATGCTCGAGTGACCTACCTCCTGCATTTTGCTGATGTCTCATTTTGCATCTTATATGGTCCAGGTGCACACTGATTCTTTAGAGTAAATAACTAGAATTCAAACCTCTTCACGTGTTTAGCAATTTTCATGGCATGCATTGAAATCTATCTTTTGTAGGTATTAGAGGTTATACTTCCAAAAGGGATGATTGTTCCTTCTACCTTCGAAACTGTTGGGCACATTGCACATCTGAACCTTAGAAACGAACATCTTCCTTATAAGAAACTTATTGCAAAGGTAATTTATTTTGAGTTTTCATCACTTTTGTAACTAGTTACTACATGTTGCTGACTTTCTTTACTCTTCAAATATTTACTCTAAAAATGCTTATTTCTTCTTTGGTATTGTCATCAGGTAGTTTTAGACAAAAACAAGCCAACCATACAAACAGTTGTTAATAAAATTGATGCCATAGATAATGACTACAGGACGATGCAGCTTGAAATTTTGGCTGGAAACCACTCTCTTGTCACAAGATTGGTTGAAAATGGACTTCATTTTCAAGTTGATTTAGCAACTGTGTGAGTATAGCTCTGCAGTACTGATACCCAAAGATGAACAAGTAAGGAGAGAAAACATCTTATGAATCTCATTCTCCTATTCTGCAGATATTGGAACTCTAGGTTGGCAACGGAAAGGCAGAGGCTGCTTAGTTCCTTCAAACGTGATGATGTTGTTTGTAAGTTACTTCCTCACATTTTTTCTAAGTCACATTCATGTCCGCTATTATTTGTTTTCTTTGTTCAATTTTGCTTTGATATTGAAGCGCTATTATTGTTGGATTTATTGCTGCTAGGTGCTTAGTACTAATATAATCAGATGCTAATCTTAACTACTTTTAAATGCAACATATCGGCCAAAATGTGGGAATAATATCATCAGATACAAAGTTGAAATGTTAAATGCATTTCTTTGATTTGTTTCTCTTTAAATACTTACATGCATGCTAGTGCACATTTTTAAAAGTTTTCAGTTTTCTGCACTGTTAGTAATTGTCAACCTTGCAGGTGATGTTTTTGCTGGGGTTGGACCCCTTGCAATATCTGCTGCCAAGAAGGTCCAATATGTATATGCCAATGACTTAAACCCTAAAGCTGTTGAGTATATGGAAAGAAATTGTGTTCTCAATAAACTTGAGAGGAAAATTGAGGTAGAAATATATAATCATGTATGAGGCAATATACTATCTAGTTTCTGTCATTAAAGACTCATTATTGTGCATGTTGTGCTCATGTTAGGGGTCTTAGACTTGGGACATTTCATTCTTCGTCATCTGCTGCAGTTTTCGATTTCTTTTAATTGTTTTATGTAACTGATAGTTGCAATTTCCTTCCATTGTTCAATAGTGCAACAGGTTTTAACCTTTTATATATTGATCTCAAGGTGTATAATATGGATGGAAGGAGGTTCATTGACACAATTTTTTCCAGTCAAAATACTCGGAACATCACACAAGTAGTAATGAATTTGCCAAATGATGCTGTCGAGTTTCTAGGTATGTGCTGCTTTGCAGGGGGGCGGGTGCAATTTTGTTATAGTAACATTACCTGATGATGAAAGCCGATGCTGAAAATCATCTAAGACATCGCTTAAAGTGTTTTATTGGAACTCTTTGTTTGCCTCAACCGAGGAGGGGGGAGCAAGTGGAAAATGGAAGAGTTTAAAAAATTTATGTGTGGTTCAATGGGAGAGAATAGGCAGGAATTATTATTTTAGAAAACATATAAAATAACTATATTTATGTGTTTTTTTGTGTAATAATAATGAGAATGTAGAATACTTTTGATTTTAAAAAGGTGAAAAGGAATTTACGAAAAAAGACCACTTCTCCAAAATATCCCAAATTGGGAGAATGAGAAATGAGGAGTTTGGATGGGTCAAATTGTCCTCCACTTTCCTCTCCCATCCCTCCCAACTGTTCCCCCATCAAAAGCTCAAGTGACTCAAAACTCCTCCACCTCCCTCTAAAGGCCTCCAACCAAACAAGGGGAAACAAGCCATTTTTATACATATTTCCTTCTCTAGCCTCGAGTGGTTTTGATGGCTGTTACTTTTACGTAGTAATACTTTCTGCTCCCTTCTGCATTAGCTTCTTTATCTTTTTCTTCCACTGTTGGCAGATGTATTTAGGGGATTATTCCGGAAGAACACCAAGTACAAGGAATCAACCTTTCCAAGGATCCATGTATATGGGTTTTCAAAAGCCCCAGATCCGGAATTTGACTTTCACGAGGTATAGAATAATCAATGCATACCGGCACTAGCTTCTCTTATAGGCGTCTGCTGGTTATACAACAATGCAGATAAATTCTCAGATTTCATTCATTCATGTCTAGTTTCTGTTGTCATTATCAACAGAGAATAAGAATCGCATTAAGAGAAGTTGCCTTTGAGGTAGACGTACGAATTGTACGTGCTGTTGCACCAGGAAAGTATATGTTGTGTGGATCGTTTGTCCTTCCAGAGAGTGTGGCATGTGGTAGACCTACATAAATTATGTAAGTTCTAATTCCTTGTTATATCCATCTAATTAGGTGACTAGTAAACTACCCAATTTATTGTGACTTTGTTCTGTTAACTACTCTCTGTTTCATATTAATAGCGAGTTCAGAAGAGTCCTTTAAATAGTTCTCACATTCATTGACACAAAGTTTAACTCTCCGAGTCTCTGTCATTTACCGTCTCACCCTCAACAAACGGGCGAACGGTACTCTGTAAACTACAAAACAGACTAAGACTCATTGTTGTCTTGTATGAGTTTAAACTCTTTTTACCCCATCTCTAAGACTTCAACTGATCCCAGCCATCTGTCCATCCACCCCAGTGTAATTCTTTACTGCTTTTGAATTCACATTTAACACACAAAAAAATGTCCTTTTGTTGAGCAGTGGTGGGTCCCAGCCTGCATATCTGTGGATTAAAAAAAAAAAGAAAAAAAACCAAAAGGAGAAGCTGGAGAGAGTAAAATTTGTGGGTGTAAGAACAAAGGCCAAAGATGGTGGCAATGCAGAAGTGAATCTGGAGTCAGATATGGTGCTGTGTATGTGTTGGGACCAAAAGAAAAGGATGGGGCATAGTGAGATGGGAGTGGGAGCTGATTGAATGTCCAGAAGAAGATAAGTGCTCACGCAAGAGGAAGAAAGGGTAGGGTAACAGTTACTTGAAGGGTAGGGTGCCCTAAAGGCGTTAACCCACTGGGTAACAGGAAAGCTTCACCAACCCCTTCCCTCCCCTTCACAGCCATTTAAGATGAACTGTGTTAGAATTGGTGTAAATACTCACATCTCACTCGTATCTCCTCTTTCAGATTCACAGGGACCAGCTGTGCCATGCTATTTGTTTCTCTCTCTCTCTCTCTCTTTGACCCATCAATCCTGAGGATCCTAAGAATGAGGTTCATCGAAACTGTTTTAAAAAAATATTGCTTCAAAAAATTTCTTAGAAATAGGAAATGTTGTGTATAAAAAAGTTTTTTTAGATTTTGCTTGACTCATTATTTTAAAATCTTGCTTGACTCGTTATTTTAAAATTTTGCCGTGCGTTACACGGGTTAAAATTTAGTGTCTCCAAAAATTCACACCCACACACACATACACAAATTATTTTCATTGAAGCTATATGTATTTTTCTTTGAAAACGAACTTCCAACAAACAGTGTGTGAGAGGTGTGTTACACTCGTTTCGTTTACTATTGTTTTTCTCATGATTCTTGCTTCATTTCATAGTTATTACAAGTAATATTTGCGATGTTTGTATTTTTTTTACTTTTAACATCAATATCAACGACACAATCTTTTACGGAATCTTTGAGGTTTCAATTGAGCTTCTCCTCTTCACCGATCTCTTATTGAGTACCGCATTGTCCCCTTCTACCTCTAGTATTCAAACTGCTTCATCTTCACCATGGTCTTCGTCGGAGTTGTCCGTGATCGAAGCCGCGTGCAAATTTTGAGGAAAAAATGTGTTTTCATAGAACATGGACATGTAGTCACAAGTACGGCAAATTGTATGATCGATAAATAATAATTTACGATGTATATAAAAATGACAAATCCTTATATGGTCTTCAATTAAGTGTACGCTTCAACTATAAACTTTGTCTTTACAAGACGGACAGAGTACATGCTTGAAATCGATTCTCACATACTTCTAGTATATAAGATCTTCAATCTTAAATTTTAGTAATAACGTTTACAAAGTCTCTTGAGGACACTCTTACCCATAAGAATTTGATGATCATAAGAACAAACTTTATACTTTGTATTGTATTTTTTTTTTGCACCCCCTCCGTCCGAAATTGTTTTTCTCATTTGATTTTTCTTGATAAAAAGTATAAACTTTGATTCGGATATGTAAAAAATACATTGTATTATGACGTAATTTTAACATTAATATATTCCTATTGTAACGTAATTTTCAAATATCAAAATTTTATAAAATACTCCCTCCGTCCCAGTGTACTTGTCCAGTTTAATTTTTTGAGTCAAACTGGACAAACTTTGAGCTTCAATTAAATAAAAACTGTAATGTATTTTAACATAAAAATGACTAATAACTTTGAGCTTCAATTAAATAATAACTTTGAGCTTCATCTAAATAAAAATTTTATTGGATTTATCGGATTGAGAACTTTCAAAATTGTTTCAAAATTGTATTTCATTATGCTAATATGCAATATAAATTGAGAGTAATTAGAGTTCAAAGTTTGTCCATTTTGACTCAAAAAAGTCAAACTGGACAAATAAAATGAGCTGGAGGTAATATATATATATATATATATATATATATATATATATATATATATATATATTCACACACAGATATATATATATATATATTAATAATCAAAGTACAATCTTAAAAATCGAGAAAAATCGAATGTGAAGAATATTTTTAGAGGGAGGAGTATGATATTTTTTTTCGAGAGTATAAATTCAATCTGCATGACCCACCCATTTAATCCAAATTTTCTGGTTCAATTCTAAGCTCAAAATCATCATCAAAAAAAGAAAATTGAAACGGAAGAGAGAGGTGCCGAAGACTGTGGGCCCCGCCCCAAAAACACCTTCTACGTGGACCAACAGGCGGTCCCCACGGTCAAATCAAATTCGGTTAGTTCCGGGGGGTGGGGTTTACGATGGGGTGCGGAGCAGGAGATTTGATCCTCCTCCCGCCCCCCCTCCCCTGCATCGACGACAAAGGAGGCAATTTGCTTTTGTGCTTTTTCAATTCGGATTACCGATGGTACGGACTACGGTCTCAAGGCGGCTGTGTTGAACAAGCACTTAATACGTGGACACTCAAACTTTGTTTTTTCATCCATTCTTATTTGTCACCTAATGCTACGATATACTCCCTCCGTCCCATAAAGTGTTACCCATTTTTACTAAAGTTGAAATTAAGGGAGGGATAATTTTGTGTTGACTTTCCAAAAATATCCTTGATGTGATGGGTAATAGTAGGATGTGATGCGTAGATTATTAGAAAAAAAGTATGATGTGATAGGTAGGGTTTGAAAAAGTAAGGGGTAAAAGTGATTTTTTAATAGAAATGAGTAAGAGATTGTGGGACACAATTTTTTGAAACGTGTAAATCTTTTTGGGACGGAGGGAGTTTTTTTTTTTTGAAAAAAAATTTCTATGAAAGTGTACGTTAAAAAAGAAAGTTTATGAATTTTGTGAACTATTTATTTGTGACTCTAGCATTACTCTTTTTTAGTCAAATAGTGATGTGTTTTGACTACGAACTGTGAGAATAATATATTGAATTATAATATAAATTTAATATAATTGGATTCATTTAGGATATAGTTTTGATATGTCTAATTTTTTTAACACTTTTTGTTTAGATTATGTTTAATTTATGGTCAAAGAGTGTCACCATTTGATCAAAAAAACTCAAAATGAGAAATGTGTTCTGGAACACGGAGGGAGTATTTTATTAAAAGATTTTGACTTAGAGATTTGAACATTTTAGTACATTTAAAAAGTGAAAAATAAGATTAATTAATAGAGTAGGCATGGGGTAGATGGGAAATGATGATTTTATTAGAGTGGGGGGGCTAGTGTTATTTTTGGTGAAACCAAGTGGAAACCTCAGAGTGAGGAGATCGCCTCATTTTTGGGTCTTTTGGCAGAACAAATATCCCTTTCCTCCCTTTTGCCGCCTTTTTTAATCATTACTTTCTCTAAAATAAATTTTATCAACAAATCAAATAAAACAAATAGTATACGGAGTACTCTCTCCGTCCGGAAATGTTCTTCTCATTGTACTTTTTACGGTCTCTAATATTGCACTTTGACCATTAATATCTATATTTATACATAGATATATTTTATAAAAAATTTATATTTGAAAACTATGTTTCATTATGAATATATTGATGTTAAATTTACATTATAGTACAATATGTTTTTTCCACAAACCGTAGTCAAAGTTTATAAATTTTGACCAAGAAAAGTCAAATATGAAGAACATTTTCAGACGAATGGAGTATTTTTTTCTCTAGCTACTCGATCTCTTTGCCTAAAATTTGAAATCTTGAAACACGTAACAGAACTTTTTGAAATGTATATATATGTGCATGAAATTTTTATCAAAACTTGTTATGAATTGTATAACTTGATAACTAGTGTAATGAAAATATGGCTCTATTTTGCTTAATTATTGGTTTTTGATTGCTATGTGTACAAAGCCTTTTTGACCTGGTTTGGGTTGAGTTGGTTATAAGAGAATGAGAAGAACCACCTTTTTACGAGCTAGCTATAAGAGATTAAAATGCTAGATTCATTTGTCCAATTACTAATTAGGTCATGCTAATTATCACTTGATAGACTCTTAGAATTCCTACATTCGAAAATATATAAGAATAGGACTAGCATGTATAGAAGGAGCAAACCTTACATAATAGGAATATAACTTTTGGGACGAAGGGAGTAATTGATGTGTGTGGACAATATGCAAACATCTATTAGCAGGAATTGAAGTTGAAAAGGACACCAAATAAAGTATGTGGCGCAAACCAATGGAGATCACAATATAATGAATATGCCCTCAAGATCAATTCTTCTCTCTTTTTTTAAAAAAATAAAAATAAAGAAAAAATCTTTTTTCTTTATCTTACAAAAAAAATGCAATTAATTACAAGAAAAAAAGAAAAATGATTGAGGGTTTGGGGTTGGAACGTATGTATGTATATATACTCCCTCCGTCCCAAAAAGATATTCCTGTTTCATTTTTTTGCGCATCCTATAAAACACTTCTACACACATCTAAAATGACTAAAATTTACCACATTTCTCATTTATTATGGGTAGAAGTTGTTTTGAAAGTTTTTTTTGCATTTGAGACGGGATAGAAGTGTTTTATGAGATGCGCAAAAAATGAAACAGGAAGGTCTTTTTGGGACGGAGGGAGTAGTATGTATGTACGTAATGCATGCAGGAGGAGGAGACAGTGTTAGTCGTTGGTTACTGGGACATGAACTGGGGGAAGTCACAGCCTTTTCCATATCCACCAAAAAGTAAAACCATATATATCCTGTATACATTATTGCATTTACCTATGTACTATACGTATATGGGAAGTATTTTACCAAATGGTAAATTATATTGTTACATGGAATTAAAGGCGGAGGGTGTTCGGGCCGGGGCGGGGTGAAGGATAAACCGGAGAGTTAGGAGAATAAGAAACATAAATTTTACGAACGAGGCACCGTAACGCCCTCAGGTATCCTATGGCATTGCCGGACAATGTCATGGGAACCTTGCCCAAAACATAATATGCCTAAGCTACCCCAAAGATCCAACCCGGCCCAATCCATAGTGACCCATATTTTAGGGACAAAATAGGAAATGAGAGTTGGCAAAGTGAAAAAAAAGGGAATGACAGTATGAGAAATGTTTCACTTATTCGTACTATATATTGAGATGGAGATCGAGAGAGAACACACAAGAATTTAGCAAACAAACCCACCATTTCATGTATCTATACATCTATCTATACATACACATATATACTATATTCATCACTTCCTCCATTAATTATTACCAAGTGATTCCTTAGCTTCCGTCTGCGAAGAGAAAAAAAGAAGTTAATAAGAACAAACGGATATAAAATGCCAACCCGGTCGTCGGAAATGACTCGGCACGGCGGCAGGAGGAAGGCTAAAACGGCGGCGGCGGCGGCCAGAAAGAAAAAGAAGCAGCCTCAGAGAGGCATGGGCGTCGCTCAGCTCGAGCTGCTCATGCGAGATCCGGCGGCCTTGAAGAAA